CCCGCCGCGGCCCGCCCCCAGCCACTGGCAGCACCGCACCAGCTGCTCAGCGGGCACCCGTGCCTCCCAGCGTGCACAGGTGGTTAAACACGCAAATGGCCACATTTTGCTCCAAGATAATGTTTGCACACGTGAAGCTGGAAGGAAGCTCAACTCCAAGATCCTTTATGCAACAATTTCATGTGAGACACGGGGGGAGTGTTCAGTGAGCGTACAAATCAGAAGTTATCACGTGGGCCACTGTCTAGCTGCGCTTTGTTCACAAATTATTAAGATAGACTGTACGTAGTTAACCAAAACTTCGAAAAATACGTAGAATTCCAGGGTCTGGTATAATAATAAAAATCTGTGAAAGCAGCCATAAGTTAATATTTAACTTTTTCCTTAAAGACACTGGGAGCTACTTACTGTTCAAGTACCATGTAAAATACAAGAATTCAGAAGACTGTGAATGCTAACAGCTTAGCATTGAGCATATTTAGCAATTTAGCATATTTGACCCATTTCCTCGTTCCCAAAGAGGGCAATTCAAGTTCTTTCTTTTGCTAGAGTGCGAATTTATTTCTACTTTGTGTGGTTTACAGTAAACTGCGCCTAGTATGTATCACTAGTACTCACGCACTTGTTGAAATCACCTACGGACCCCATCTGACTCTAGGAGGTGCGGCCTGCCCGTGGGAACGAGAACTGTCCTGGTGTAGTTCACCACTGCCCCTGCACAGAGGGCCCCACCCTCCCGTCTGCCCACACTAAACCAGCAGTCGCGGCAAGGGGTTTGGACCAGAAATTATAACTGGCCCCTGAGGGGCCCTGAATCTGGCTTCCCCGTGCAGGAAGTACAGCAGCGCCTCTCCTGCCTGGGCAGACACATGCCTAAGGTCAAGGTGGAAGGCCAGTCAGATGTCTAACCAGAGGCGAGGCACAGGGCAGTGAGGAAAGCCAGGACCCTGCTTTCTACCGGGAAAACACCATGTGTGGCAGCAATGACTAGCACCAAAGGTCTGTAAATCCTAGTCCTTTTCTGGATGGAGTTAGCTCCGAGGGCCAGAAAAGGAGGGGAAGTACTTTGCTATGAAACGTACTAGACCTGTGAGAGCGTTAACACATCTCTGACTCCCTTTTATCAGTCAGCAGCCGATCGTGTCCTTAAAACAGCTACTACAGAGTCTACTGACAGTAACAGAAAACAGAAAGAACCTTCACTTTAAAATGACGCTGAAGGGGCCGGCAGGTGGCGTGGTGGCTAAAGGTGCTGTATTCCCACATGACTGACTGCAGTTCGAGTCCTGGACCTGGCAGCTTGCTTTCTCACTTTCCATTACTCTCTCTCTCACTAGTCAAATTAAATAATAATAATAATAATAACAACAACAACAACACATGGAATTAAATAAATAAATCATTTTTTTAAAGATGACACTGAAATAGATCTAACATAACCAGCACACAGCCTGACATTTAATTATCTTAATGGGTTTTTTAAATCTCTATTTATAAACTCTATACATATTATATATATTACATACTTTATATATTATACACATATATTATGTTTTATATATTTTATGTTATATACATATTTTATTGATATGTTTGTATATGTGTGTGTGTCTATATGTGTGTGTGTGTGTATATGTGTGTGTGTGTGTGTGTGTGTGTGTGTGTGTGTGTCTATACAAATAAATAAAATGTTCTCTGTGCTCGTGATGACCTAGCACCAGTCCTCTCATAATGGTCATAAGTAGCCGTAAGGGGATAAAAAGCAACCTTTCTGTTTCTGGAGTGGTGAGATGGGCATGGTCACCTTTGGTTTGCAAGAAAACCTTAAGCAGCAGCAGTCCATAGTCACCATCTGGAGGAAATCCTGTCTCTGCAGTTTAAAAACTCCACTACCATCAGTAAGAACAACTTCTCAAAGGGTTACGGAATCCTTGGCTAAAAACAGCCCGTTCCTTCTACATTATCTCCAGAGCCTGCCCACGGCACTGACAACGCTGCCACTCGGTGCGTGGGGGGACGTCCTACAGTCTGTAAAGCAGCCCAAGCCCAGTCGTTCCTTGGCCACTTCCTCTGCTCTGCAGGCGGGTTGACCAGGAGGGGAATAAATGTAGTTTCTCCTGGGAGGCATGGAAACGAGGCAGGTAGTGGGTTACCAGGCCTCAAAGATCTCAAAGACCGTTTGCCTGGACGAGTCCTTATGCTAGAAACTGCGCATTGCCTTGAGTGAAGCTGGTCACTTTCAGTTACCAGAGTTAAAGGTCCTGGCATTACCATGTAACGTGCAGGCAGAATGAATGCTAAAATCTCCTCTGGGTGACACCTAACCTCTGTGTCCACTGACGTCACTCTCATCTCACTACCCACTGCAAGAGACGCAGTGCACGAGCATTATCTAGGAAGACACTCTCGTGTTTTATAGGCTTGGCACTGCACACCGATACCTGGGGTCAGCATATTGTAGAGAGAAAAAAGAAAAACACAGAAAAATCAAATCACAAGGAATCAAAATGTATTAAAGGAAAAAAAGGCATGTGAAATCAGTCCTCTCCACCCACAAAGGAGTCCCAGTGGGCAGGACTCAAGACTAAGAGCAAAGACTTCACCCCACTCTGCAGCCCTGGACTGGCGCGCGTTTTAAATGCTCTTACACAGATTCTATTTCCCCTTTTTCTCTTCTAAAAGGGTTCCAAATTCACTATATGAAATGAAGTTTTCACGGAATAACATTCTCCTGCATCGGAAACAGTGAGGAGGACGTATTAAGAGTCCTCTGGGGTTACTTGAATGCCCACTGATTACTCTTCTAGGAGAGAAAATGAGCCCGTTTCATCTCGACCACATGAATTTCTTCCCATCACCACCAGAGGCGCTATGAGGATGCTGACGTCTTCACTCTAGGGCAGCCCCTTCAGAGTGGCAGGGAAGCTCTGGCGGAGGAGGGATCCCTACCACTGACCTGTGCCGGTTTTTATTCTTCCGCTTTTTATGGCTGCTGTGATGACTCCCTGAGGAAGTAGAAGAAGCAGCCTTCTGCGGTTTCACTCCCTGCACAGATCCATCCAGATCCTCGGCGTCCTCCTGGCTGGGTTCATTTTCCTGACTGTGGAAGTCTGGGGAAGTGTCACTCTCTGTCCCACTTCCTGGTTCCCCTGGAGGGAGTAAAACACAAGTCCCCCAAAACGTCATCAGTACCCTCAGACCACCTGCCCATCATCAGGAAAGATGTTTTTCAGCACTAACATGTAGAAAAGGACCATCCTCTGGAGCCAGCAGGTGGCGTGGTGGTTAAAGTACTAGACTCCCATGTGACCAACCACAGTTCAAGTCCTGAACCTAGTGGCTTGCTTTCTCACTTTCCCCCCCTCTCTCTGTCAGTCTGATCAAACTAGAAAACAGTAATAATAAATAAAGTTAAATAAAATAATGCTTTAAAAAAAGGATCATCCTCTAGCCTCAGAGACCATACAATCTTTTTTAAAAAGAATTATTTATCTTTATTTATTTTTTTAAATTTTTACCAGAGAGGGACAGACACAGAGAGACAGAGAAAGAGGAAGTGAGAAAGCAAGCCGCCAGGTCTGAGGTTCAAACCATGGCCAGCCATGTGGGAGTCCCGTGCCCTCAACTGGAGGCCCCAGAGACCAATCTACTGACAGAGGATACATGTTGACTGAGAAGATACATACACAGTATCAAAGTTACCAGTTCCTGAAAAACATGTCCTCTGAAACAGTGTAACCAGATCTAAGCGGCCAGAAGTTTACACAACTAGGATAACCTCACTGCATCATGGCTGTTTAAACCCAGGACACACTAATGGGATTCATTATCATATAAAAAGCATTACTGAAAACATAAAGTGAGGGAGGAGCTGGGAACACCGCCTACAGCTGGGCCTGCTCCTTCCCCACACCATACAGAAATCCCATCTTTCTATCAACAAAAAAGGTCCAAGAGGGACCAGCAGTTAGAGTAATGGCTATGTCACTGGACTTCCATATAGTCGACCGTGGTTCGAGTCCCAGACCTGGTGGCTTAAACTCACACTGGGCACGTGTGTGTGCGTGCCCAAGATCCCGAGAGGAGAATGGAGAAGGGATTGTGGCATGGCCATCCCCCTTGGGGGGTGATTTCTCACTTTCTATCTCTCTGTCTCTGTCTTTCTGGCGAGCACATGTACCCTAAAGAAAAACTTCTCCAAAAAAAAAAATGTTTAAAAAGGCCCAAGAAGGAGAGTCTGTTTATCTTAATTACTAAGAAGTTTTTAAAACAAATACTACTCAGCTGACACATATCCCAATTTTTTTTTTTTTTTTTTTAGAGGTTCGTTTTAGGGAGCGTGTGCTCGCCAGGAAGACAGAAAGAGACAGAGAGATGGAAAGCAAGAAATCACTCCCCAGGGGAATGGCCACACTGCAATCCCTTCTCCTCCATTCTCCTCTTGGGATCTTGGGCACGCACGCACACGCACCTGGCATGAGTTTAAGCTACCAGGTCTGGCACTCGAACCTTGGTCAAGTATGTGGGAGTTCAGCATCTGCTGGTCCCATAAGTAGAGTTTTCATAGCAGAAGAATGACAAAATCTTTTAAATTACATACTTACACATAGTATAAATAACATGATGGAAGAGGGAAAGTGAATAATGAGTAAAATGTTAAATATTTTAAAGTCTCAAAATTATTTGGTTCCCTACATATCACTATTTTAAAACCTCACTTCAAGAGCCAGCCTGCGGTTGGGAACCAGCAGTTAGCGTAATGGCTATGTTGCTGGATTCCCACATAGTCGACCGCGGTTCGCGTCCCGGACCCGGTGGCTTAGAACTCACGCCGGGCGCGTGTGCATGCATGCCCAAGATCCCAAGAGGAGAATGGAGGAGAAGGGATTGCGGCGCGACCATCCCCTCTGGGGGGTGATTTCTCGCTTTCTGTCTCTATGTCTCTCTCTGTCTGTCTGGCGAGTGCACGCACCCTGTAGTGAAAACCTCTCCAAAAAAAAAAGCCAGCCTGCGGCTGGTGGTTGACACAGGTGGATCCCACATGGCTGACTGAATAGTCCACCCAGATCCAGCTGTCTGAAAAACACACCGGGAACACATATCTAAAATCCTGAAAGAAAGAAGAAATGGAGAAGGGACTGCAACGTGACCATGCCCCATGGGGGCTGCTTTCTCTGTCTCCTCTGTCCCTCTGTCTGTCTCTCTCTCTCTGGCAAGTGCATGTGCCCTCTGACAATAAGAAAAAAATTTTCAGTATATTAAATAAACAAAAGTAAGTTCAAGAACAAGTTGTAGGGGTCAAGAACAAGGTGTGGTGGTTAAAGTGCTGGACTCCCACACGGCCAACCATGGTTCCAGTCCTGGACCTGGTGGCTTGCTTTCTTACTTTCCCTTTCTCTCTGGCCAAATTAAAAAATAATAATAAGAAACAGGATTAAGTAAATTAAACTCTTTATTTAAAAAAAGAACAAATTGATATTATATATAATTTTAGGAAAATCATTATATATTTTTTGATAACTATGTACTTGCTTTCTTTGGAAAGGAATTTCTTGAAACTCTTAACAGGTAAGGCTAAGGGAAGATTTCACTTTACCGGCTCCTGATGGGTCCTACATGTACATGTCATTGCTTTCTAAAAAATTGTCAAAAGAGGCTACGTGGGGCCAGTTTTCATATTCTTAAGTTTTTATACTATACACTGCTGGGAAGAAAGTTCAAATTAAGTAGCACACAGAGATGCGAAGTACAGCAGAGGTTATCTCGAAAGGAAGAGCAGAGAAACAGATTTCTGAAATGCCTATTTTCAAACGCATTTCATGAAAGTAACAGAAAAGGAGCTATAGAACAGTGAAGGTGGGAACCAGCAGGCAGCGTAGTGGTTAAGGCGCTAGACACTCCCACATGGCCGACCATGGTTCGAGTCCTGGACCTGGCGGCTTGCTTTCTCACTTTCCCTCCCTCTCTCTCTCTCTCTCTTTCTCTGTGTGTGTGTGTGTGGGTGGGTGGGTGTCCCTCTCTAGTCAAATTAAAACAAAATGAATGAATAAATAAAATTAAATAAATAATTATTTAAAAAAATAAAAGAATTGTGGAAGCCAGTAGATAAACACCAAATAACCCTGCCCTTCTGAAGACAAGAAAACTGACTACATGCAACAATTAGCAAAAGGATTTTAAAACTTACTACAAAAAGCTAAAGTAAACAACACTGTGATACTGGCATAGGCTAAAAATACAGATCAAGGTTAAGAGATTTAAGACTCCAGATATAAACCCTTACGATCATAAACATTTACACTCAACTGATGTTCAACAAGGGTGACAAGATTATTCAGTGAAGAGTCTTCTAACAGACGGTGTTGGGACAACTGGATATTCACATGGAAAAGAATCAAACTGGACCTCACACCATACACAAAAGTGAACTCAAAATGGACCACAGTCCTAACTGTGCGAGAACAAACACTGAAACTCTATGGGCACTCACTGGGTTAGGCAAGGGTTTCTTAGATATGAAAGCAAACGTGACAACAGGAGGAGACGTAAATTAGACCATATCATTCATATAAAAACTTCTGGGCTGGGGGAACCAGCAGTTAGCGTAATGGCTGTGTCGCTGGACTCCCACGTAGTCGACTGCGGTTTGTGTCCCAGACCCGGTGGCTTAAAACTCACGCCGGGCGCGGGTGCGTGCGTGCCCGAGATCCCGAGAGGAGAATGGAGGAGAAGGGATTGCGGCGTGACCATCCCCCCTGGTGGGTGATTTCTCGCTTTCTGTCTCTATGTCTCTCTCTGTCTGTCTGGCGAGTGCACACGCCCTACAGTGAAAATCTATCAAAAAAAAAAAAAAAAAAAAAAAAACAATTC